CCTGCCCATCTATCTATCTATCTATCTATCTATCTATCTATCTATCTATCTATCTATCTATCTATCTATCTATCTATCTATCTATCTATCTATCTATCTATCTATCTATCTATCTATCTATCTATCTATCTATCTATCTATCATCTCCGGCCTTTATATATATATATTTTATAAACCACTCAAGGCGGTGAACGCTTAAGGGGCCAAATAGCCTCACAAAGAGTCCTTTCCCCCATCTCTCCTTTTCAGGTTTCAGTTTTTAAAAAGTATTTATTCAAGGGGCCAAGTGGAAAAATCTGCTCCCTAACTACTGATAGTCCCCAACTTATGACCACAACCAAGCCCAACATTTCTGTGGCTAAGCAAGAACGGCGGTTAAGTGAGTTTTGCTCCATTTTACACCTGCTGCTGTTCTTCAGCAAATCGCTGCTGTCGTTAAGCGAAGCACGGGCTCGTTAAATGAATCGGCCTTCGCCCGTTGACTTTGCTGGTTGGAAACTGGCTGGGACGGTCATCGGTGATGATCACATGATCACAGGACCCTTCAATCATCCTAAACACAAGCCAGTTGGCCAACTACCTGAATTTTGATTGTTGCAACGGTCGTAAGTGTGAAAACGCGTCATACGTCCCTATTTTCAGTGCTGTATTTTTCAGCGGTCACTAAACGAATGCTCGTAAGTTGAGTACTGCCTGTATATTTTATTCTAAAGAAACAGAACATCTAAAAGGGCAGGGTATGCCCATAGGCATCTCCTTCCAGAAAGTTCTGGAAAAAACCTTCCACGTTGACCTGGAGATGAAACCACATCTTCAAGGGGGGGGGGGGGAAATCGCCCAGCCTTTATCGTGGAAGCAGCCCAAATACTTACCTCAAAATCTAGTTCTGCATATCGGGATTTCCGCCTCTGCAAAATCAAAGGAAGGGGAAGACCCATGATTAAGGCTCGAGAAGAGATGAAGTAGTCCAGCCCCCTGCTCAAGCAGGAGATCCTATACAATTTGAGACCAGTGGCTGTCCAGTCTTTTCTTAAAAATCTCCAGTGATGAAGATGGGGGAGTCAAGTTATTGTCCAAAGCAGCAGAAGGCAAGGCAAGAAGCAACGGATGGAAACTAATCAAGGAGAGAAGCAACCTGGAACTAAGGAGAAACTTCCTAACGGAGACAGCAATCAACCAAAGGAATAGCTTGCCTCCAGAAGTTGTGGGGGCTCCATCACTGGAGGTTTTTAAAGAGACTGGACAGCAATTTGTCTGAAATAGTAGAGGGTCTCCTGCTTGAGTGGGGAGTTGGACTAGAAGACTCTATTATTCTATGTTCTATGTTCACTTTCTCTACAGAACGTCTGTTGTGAGAGAGATGGAAGGGAGAATGCAATATAGGCCACTCCGGTCTCCTAAAGCAGGGTGTCCAACTTTGGCAAGTTGGAGACTTGTGGACTTCAACTCCCAAAATTCCCCCGTCTCAAAATGTCTGAAGCAAAAGGGTCCTCAAAACTGGAGAGACTCAACTGACTTCTATCCAGGCTTTCCATACAAAGCGTTTCTTCCAATAAGACTGGTCCATGGTTCACCCCCAGAAACACCCCAGTTCCTGCATCATTGGTCCAGCGTGGTTCATGAGCTGGTGGGGCTGAGGTTTTGCATCCAGCTGGGACTCACAGAAGGAGCATCAACTGAGATGATATCCGAAGGACGATTAGGAGAGATAAGTGGGGAAATTAAGGACATGTAAAATACTTTGGGAGCACGTGCATAGCAAATGATCATCCTTAATGAAGGACATTAATTAACAAAATCATTTTTATAGGAGTGTAATCACCGTCCAACACACTCCGAGATTACAGTGCTGGAACTCATTGGCCGAAAATGCCTGGTCTAAACTTCCTAAAATTTGAGTGGGGATTGGGCTAGAAAAAACCTTCCAATTTTGTTCTTCTGCTATTCAGTTATTCTGTAAAACAGCCATGGTAGCGGGGGAATCAGAATCAGAATACATCTGGAAGGGACCTTGGAGGTCTTCTAGTCCAGCCCCCTGCTCAAGCAGGAGATTTCAGACAATTGGCTGTCCAGTCTTGTCTCAAAAACCTCCAGTGATGGGAGCACCCAGAACTTCTGAAGGCAAGCCATTCCACTGGTTAATTAATTATCCTCACTTTTAGGAAGTTTCTCTTTGATTCCTGGTTGCTTCTCTCCTTGATCAGTTTCCAACCATTGTTTCTTGTCCTTCCCTCTGGTGCTTTGGAGGATAACGTGACCCCCCTCTTCTTTGGGGCAGCCCCTCAAATATTGAAACACTGCTATCATGTCCCCCCTAGTCCTTCTTTTCTCTAGACTGGCCAAACCCAGATCTTGCAACCGTTCTTCGTATGATTTAATCTCCAGGCCTTTAATCATCTCAGTTGCTCTTCTTTGTACTGCTTTGTACTTTGTACTCTCTCTTCTTTGTACAGTTCTGGAAGCTGAAGTCCCCAAGTGTTAAAATTGCCAACTTTGGAGACCCTTTGTCCTAAAACGAACACTGAAACGTTTACCAAGTCCTCCACATGGAATCTGGGCTGAAAAATAAGACTGCACGCCACTGTTTTAAGACACCTATCCTGAGTAGCTACAGTAGTGGCCAAAATTGTGGAAAACATTTGGGAAAAGTGTACAGTAGAAATGCCACCTTTGGTTAAGTTTCCACCCATTTTTCTTCTAATTTCTTTATAACTGTAGCCTTCTTAACTTAATAATACTATTCTACATCGCTTTCTGGGCAACCAGTCAACTCTTTGCACCATTACTCTAATTTTATTACGTTTTACAAGCTCATTCAATGAAAGAACACCAAAAAAAAAACCCCAACCAACTTGATAGCGATCACATAACACCTTGACAAATGTCCTCCTCTCGGCTTAAATCCATGACATCAATCACTGGATCCTACTGTGATCTGATTGGCTCATTACCAAAACAAGGTGGCACCCAATTGGCTCTCTAAACACTCATGCTCATTGGCTACCATCAGATAAAAGGAAAGCTACCTGAGATCAACCTAACCAGGTTGTGCTTCCTTTTTCTGGTTATTTGGCTATAACCTTTCATGGAATACAGTACAGATAATTGAACAAACTTCGTTGCATTACATTCTTGATTAAATTATCTTTCTATTGATATATAATTTTATGGTATTATTCCCAAAAAAGTGGTGTTATTAGCTATCAAATCTCAAAAATACACTTTTCCCAAAAGGTTTCCACAATTTTGGCCACTACTGTATGCTTTTTTTTAAAAAAAAAAAATAGTTTTAATTAGCAGGAATGGAATTTAGGGACTTCTGCCACCAAAAAGTATGGAGGTGACCACAGGCTTTCAGCCACTTACTTCGAGGGAGCTCATGGAGAGGGTGGAGACTGCCTCGTTCTTGGTCACGATTCCGGTGTTGCCGCTCTTGCCCGTGTCACACAAGCTGTTGGGCAACTGTAAGTCCATGGATTTATTGACCAAGGGCGGAGACAAAGGTTGCTGCTGCATCATGGACGAAGCCTGCCCTTCCCCGCCGCTGATCCCTGCAGGCTCTCTTGGTGGGCTCTTGACCACAAAGCCCGGATCTGTGGCCATGCTGAGGTGGATGAGCCTTGTCTGAGGCATCTGGTCAATGTTGATACTGTACTTGGTGTCGTCCTTGGGGGGTGGCGGCGGGGGTGGTGGCGGCGGGGGTGGCGGCTTGGGCCTCAAGGTGGACGTGTTGGTGGGCAGAATGACGTAGCTGGTGTCCCTGGCTTGATCCTGGGCGCGTGAAAGCTCCGAGTCCAGCTTTTTGAAGATATCTCCGTCGCAGATGTAGATGGATTTGGGAGCTTGGCTCTTGTCCTTCTTCAAGGTCAGGGTGTGGTTGTTGAAGTCGTTGAGGTTGATGGCACCCAGGTAGTGGGGAGAGCTCTGGAGATGCAACTTGGAGACGTTGGCTGGAAGACTGTTGAAGTTGGAGGATCCCT